CAAACGAGTCGAAGACGAGCGAGCCCGGACTCAACTCGTTTTTAGCACATTAAAAAATACCACAGTTCATGTTTTGCATGTTACTATTTCAAACAAAAAAAATTGTTTGTGTCTGGCATGTTTGCTTTGTGAGCTGAACACGAGTTCTTTACGAACAAAGAACAATTTTGACAACCCTAGTCACAAAGTCATAGGATGCTTAGGATAGGGGTGAGATAAAAATCTTATTATTTATATTCAAACATCATTTAAACATAATTTAATATATTTTTATTCTATTTTTTAATTAAAAAATTTAATTGATTATAAATTCTTGTAGCCTTATAGTTAATTAAATTATTTAAAATTACTATTCATTATTTTTATATATATATATATATATATATATAAAGCCAAAACGAGTCAAACATAAACAAACAAATCATTGTTTGTGTTCGACTCGCTTATATATCTAACACTAAAAAATTGTTCATGTTTGGCTCGTTTGTCAAGCAAAGGAATCAAACATGAACTTCTTAACAAGCTGAACATGAACTGTTCGTGAACAACAAGCCATTTTGACAGCACTAATCCCAAATTGAAAATGTGTCCCAAAAAAAATATTAGTTTATATACGTCATTGTAGATCACAATAGAATCAAATACTTTTCTTCTTAAAGAGAAGTAAAAAGCGTCAAATCTATAAAATGTTTAGCACAATGATTAAACTCTAGTTCAAACAAAAATATGTTGAAAACTAAAAAAAAGTTTTGCCTCATTCCTATGTGATTATCCATAGAAGCAACAGGTAATTCTCAAAGTTTGTGTGGCACACAACAACAAAGTGAGATAGCAGAATAAAAAAATAGATACCTTCTTTCGGTTGTCAAGTCATGTTTACTACACGTTCCAGAACAATTCTGCGCCGAAACTATCCTAACAAAAAGATATCTCATAAATAAAATTTCTCGTATGCTTGGCTTTCAAATTTTAATTGAAGTTCTCCTAAGCTGTTATCCACTAACATTATCTCCAATATTCCCCTAAAACCACTTAGATGTTCTACATGTCCATATCCAATCTTCAACTTGGACCCATGGTACGTCAAATGCATATTGAGAGGATATTTCTCTCATCAGAGAAAGGTACAAGTGTTTTCCTCCCGTTAAAAGACGTGTTTACAACTCTATGGATGTTAATTTTTTTGTTAACATATTAACGTGAAAATTACATTGGAAATACTTCTTTCAAAAATATCAGCTTTAGGACAATATTCCCATTGTTCTCACCATGCATGAACTACTTTATCTACCAAAGCAGAATGCCCCCACCCCAGAAGATTGAACAAAAGTAATTCAAGTTACCACGAATTAGAAACACGCAATCTCCTAAACAGGTTTATCCCCTTAATAAAGACCATGATACGTTAGTTCATTCTAGAAAAGCGTGAAAGAAGACGAGCACTGACAAAGTCTCAAGCAAAGCCAACAGTCCAATTCAAATCTAGGAACCCCCAAAAATTTCAAAGGAAACCCGTTCTGTAAACACATGAATGAAGATATTATGGAAACCTTATAGGCGGAATTCAGAAAAAATCATTAAGAAAAAAAAGAATTAATGCTCACATATCATTCTCGTGAACAGCAATACTAAGAAAAATTGCAGGGTATGAGCAACAATACCACAACATAATTCACGAACCATTTAATAGGCTTAGTTATGTTTTGCTCATAGTTGCTAACTTAACTAACATAATTATTTAGTATACTATAAACTGATCCAAGAAAGGAATGCTGAATAAGCCTTGAAAAAGATAAATAAAATACTACTTCAATTCCATAAGAGATACCTATTAACATTAAGTAAATTATGAGAGAAAGTTGAAGCAAATTTTATCAGGTAGTTGTACATGTCCGGTTGAGCAGAGAGTGCAGCAGATACACATATAAATTAAATTAATGTAGAAGATATAAGATAA